AGTTTAAAGTCTCATCTAAATCTCATCTAAATCAGATATAGATGAGACTCAAGTTATGATTCATCCTGAGGAAAATTCCTCTCCTGCTGAGAACCTGTAACATAAAACAAATTAGGTGTTTATAAAATATAATGGTGGAACATGTGTGAATAGAAATTCCCAATCCAAAAAGGAGAAACAGAAAAGAAAAATGGAGTAGCAAATCCAAGGTAAGTCCAAAATCTAAAAGGATGATCACTAAACCTCAAATCTTGAGAATAGTTTTCCTTGGTTTGATGCCCTGCCTTACCTATCCTCTAGGGTGGAGGTTCTGCTTCCAGATATATTAGGACATTCCCCAACCCTACAATTTTGCTGGGTTCTGCCTATGCAGAATCTATAAGATTCTAGTAATTGCCCTGTGGCTGTTCCTAGCCTGGAATCACACACCTGTGTCTTTACTGGTCTGGAATCTCTGGGGCAGCTCCAGCCCCACAGCTTTGTTGGACATTGCCCTAATAGAAGTTCTCTGTAGCAGCCATGCCCTTGAAGAGGCTCTGTGCCTGGGTTATGTGCCCTGGGTCCTAGGAGGCCCTATCATTCCAAATCTAGTTAGAGGATATCACTCACCATGATTTTGCTGGGGTTTGGTCCTCACAGTTTTGGGCAAGGATCATCTGGCTTATTGAAACCCAGAAGATGCCTCTTCCCACTTTTGAAACTCAGGGGGAAACCCTGATGATCTCTGAATTAAATCACTTTTGGGGACCTTCTTCCCTTGTCCTAAAAAATAATACACATTCTCAGCCAAATAGATCCACCCTATAAAATCTAAGAAGTGAGAGAACGCTGCTTTGTTCTTTTCTGTCTTCTTGTTCAGTTCAAACTGACTGTTTGCCTGTTGAAGTGGCTAATTTAGTCTGTGGTTCACATCCATACTAATGTCCTCATCAAAAAAAGTCATGCTCTCTCTCTCTCCTTTTTGCAATATGACATAGGCTAAGATTTCCCAAAGTTTTAACTTCTGCTCCCCTTTTGATTAATAATTCCATCTTTAAATTATTTATCTCTCTGGGGCACCTGAGTGGCTCAGTGGGTTAAAGGCTCTGCCTTCGGCTCAGATCATGATCTCAGTGTCCTGGGATTGAGCCCCGCATGGGGCTCTTTGCTCAGCAGGAAGCCTGCTTCTCCCTCTCTCTCTGCCTGCTTCTCTGCGTACTTTTGATCTTTCACTCTCTCTCTCTCTCTCTCTGTCAAGTGAATAGGTAAAATCTTTTAAAAAACAAATAAATAAATAAATAATTTCTCTCTTCTCCCATATTATTATAAGCATTCAAGAGAAGTCAATCCATACCTTCAACTCTTTGCTTAGATATTTCCTTAGCCAAGTATTTAATGTTATTACTCACAAGTTCTACCTTCCACAAAACATTTGGCAAAACATTGGCAGGAACACAATTCAGCCAGGCTGAATTGTGAATTACCACTTTATAACAAAGATCACCTTTCCTCTAGTCTTTGGTAGATTACTCATTTCCATCTGAGACCCAATGAAAATGGCCTTTGCCACCCATATTTCTACCAACATTCTGTTCATGACCACTTAGATGTTCTATAAGAAGATGGAGGTTTTCTTTTACAGTACTCCTCTTCTCATGATCTTTCACTAGAAACACCCTTAACAGTCCCTTCATGGTAATGTAGGCTTTTTCAAGCATGCACCTCAAAACTCCTCTAGCCTATATCCATTACATGGTTCCAAAGTCACTTCCAAATTTTTAGATATTTGTTACAGTAGTACTCCATTCACAGTACCAATTTTCTGCCTTAGTCTGTTTAGGCTGCTATAACAAAACACTGCAGACTGTGTGGCTTATAAACACTGGAAATTTAACTTTCACAGTTCTGGAGACTAGAAGTACAAGATCAGAATGCCAGCATGATAAAGGTCTGGTGAAAGTCTTCTTCCAGGTGGCAAACTGCCAACTTTTCGCTGTGTTTTCCCATGGTAGAAGGGAAAACCTTCTTCTCTGGGGCCTCTTTTATTGTAAGGGCACTATCACAAGGGCTCCACCCTCATGATTTAATCGCACCCCAAAGTCCTCACCTGCTAATACCATCACCTTAGGCCTTATGTTTTCAACATATGAATTTGGGAAGGGCACAAACATTTATACCATAGTACTTTACTATTTTTGAAACAGAACTAAAGTCCATATCAATAAGCTGAAGTAAATAAACTTCAATGGAACTTATCAGATCCAAGACCAATGTAGTTGTAGTAGCAGTAGTATACTTAAATCCATCAAAAAATGAACCCTACCAAGTCCGGGTTCTACTTCTAGTAGCATAAGCCAGAAAGATTTCTAAATTCTATCATTTTACAAATGGGAAAATTAAGGTTTAAAGAGAGCAAATGTCTCAATTTAAACCCTGTAGGGCAACAAGCAGGCTTCCCCAAGATGGGCCCTTTGGCATAAACATTATTTTCAGTTAAAAGCAATCAAAACCCCATGAATTCAGGAAAAACTATTTAGCTGCTAATCTGTCTCATGTCAATTTGAGTCCAGCTAGAAGGATTATGAAGGGCTGAGAAAAATCTTCCTCCCCAACACCCCCAATTTACACAAATAAGTTAGTGTCATAGCCCGGACTAGAACATATTTCTACTCTAAGCCCATTTTTTTTTCCTAATCAATTCCTGTCACAACTCAAATTAATATACTGCACTTTTCACATACTTCACAAAACACACCAAATGATGACTTAATGTTGAGAAATCAGTGTGGTTGATTAGAGAGAAGGAAGAGTGGCTCAATCTTTTTGATGGGAAAAGAATTCTAGAAGAACATAAAAGCTAAATAGAATAAAATAATAAGAAATAAATAGCTAAATAGAATAAAATAATAAGAAGAAATTAAGCATGGTGAAATCTTTTTATGTTAAAGATTTATTTATTTATTTGAGAGAGAGAAAGTGCACGTGAGCATGGGGGAAGGGGCAGAAGGAAAGAAGGTCTTAAGCAGTCTCTCTGCTGAGTGTGGAGTCCCACGCAGGGCTCCATCTCATGACCTTGAGATCACAACCTGAACCAAAAACAAGTCAATTGCTTAACCAACTGTGCCATCCAGGCACCCTGTGAATTCTTTTCAAATAGATCAATTTAGATTCTATCCTATTCTCATCATTACATCTGAATGATTAATATTTTTCACTCTATAAGTTATCTGTATCTCCAATAAGAAACATTCAGAAAAAAAATGACATTTTATAAGCAAAACAAAATCTTCAACTTCACTTTGTAAACATCGTACCCTGTCAAATATCCTTTTTTGATAGATAATTTTCTCTGATCTTTTTTTTACATTCATATTTTCTATCTCCAAAAAAGTCATTTATTTAGGACTGGGGATGTGTAGATGTGGATACATGTGTCACTTCTTTATGTGCCCAAATGTTCTAAGGTTTTTTCCTTACAATATCCATAGATGTTGACAGCAGTTGCTCCCAAACTTTCAATAATGAAGACAACTTTTAATTCCTAAAAATTGTATAAGTCCCACATAATTACATTTTAGTAGTTGTTGATTGATAAAGTCCAACATTTATTCATTAACACTTCTAAATGAATTTATTTTTTAATTTAATTTATTTATTTTAATTATTTATTTTAAATAATTTATTTATCTTTGTTGTTATTGTTGTTTTGGTTTTCTTTTAAAGTTTTATTTTTTGAGTAATCTCTATACCCAATGTGGGACTCAAACTTACAGCCCCAAGATCAAGAGTTGCATGCTCTGCCAACTGAGCTGGCCAGGTGCTCCTGAATTTCTATTTTTTCTTAATTTTACTTTTTTAATTTTTTAAAAAAAATTATTAACATATAATGCATGATTTGTTTCAGGGGTACAGGTCTGTGATTCATCAGTCTTACACAATTCTCTTAATCACATCATTTGCATATGTTTTAAAATTAGTAGATAATTACTTGTAAAACATGGTATTTGTTCAGTGTATTCACAGTGACTGGGGGCATACAATTTCCTGGACTCTACAGTAATGCCCTATCTCCCAACACCAACAATGAGCCTGGGTTCAAACTTCACAAGTTTTCTTATGGAAACTTCGCATTTGCAAAAGAAGCCAGGGTGAGAATCTACACTGGTTCTTCTTCCTACTCATAATCATATTCATATTTATGTACTATCAACTGCAAGAAGACTTAGACTTCACTAGACTTGTCCACCACCCCAGTTGAAGGGTTTCAGGACACATTCTTTCCCCACCAAATGAGCCACTTTAAATATAGATTTATTTAGTGCTGAAGGCACTTGAGACTCATGGACCCAAAAGAAACTTTTGTCTCTCCTTTAACCACACAGAAGAATCTAAATTGGGGTTCTTTCCCAGAATAAGAGTTATTAACAGAGATAAATTTTGTCTCAGTGACACATTTGTTATGGTAGGGCAAACATCTAATTAGCAAACATCTGCCCTTCTTATCACCTTGTAAAATGCATTCCTTTTCTCCGAAATCCCAGAGTCCTACCCATATCTCCTTTGTTTAGAATGACATATAGACCTCATTTTTCCAACTGTCTTTGGAATTGCCATGTCTGTGTGGATTCCTTGTATGGACACCTGTTAAATTTGATTTTCTCCTGTTAATCTGTCTTTTTTTTTTTTTTTTTTTCAAAAAAAGTCACTGTTCAAATTTTATTTGGTATTTTAGTTGGTACAACACTTAGTTGGTTGCATGGTCTTTTTACATTATATGGCAATGTACACTATATTCTGACATACATGGTACACGAAGTAAGATCCTTTGGAACAGTTATGCACAATACATGCAATAATGAATTTATACGTTGGAGCCCAGGATGTGACTGACTGGAAAAGATGGATTAGGCATGTTGGGTGAAGGAACCAGAAATCATAGAACACACAGAAAATATGCATCTGGTTTGAAGAGCACCTGCAGCATACGCAATATTGGCAGTAGTGCCTCTGAGATGAACCCATTTAGGACTACAAAGGCAGGTATCATCCAGCATTAGGGTATAGCTGCAGGGTTTGCTGAACCATTCCTATTTAGAACTTTAGGAAACCAATGTTTTTTCATTAGGCCATTTTTATATTATTTAAGTAACAGATCAGATAATAAGGACAATGTACACAACCTCCAACTAAAACCCTGTCGTATTCTAGACAGTGAAGTGGTACATTAGAAAACTTTAAAACTGCAGTTCCTTTTGGATCCCCCAGAGTGTATCTGCACTCTTCTTCAAACGGGCCTCCTCCTCAGGAGTTAGAGTCACCTTCACAACATCTGAAATTCCATTCTGTCCCAAGATGCAAGGAACACTAAGGAAGACATCATCTTTTATTCCATAGAGACCCTTAATCATAGTGGAAATTGGGTGCACCCGCCTAAGAGTCTTCATTATACTTTCTGCCAAATCTGCCACAGACAGTCCAATGGCCCGGGAAGTGTAGCCTTTCAGTTTGATCACCTCATAGGCACTGTCAACCACCTGTTTGTGAACCTCTTTCCACTGTTCCTTATCTGCATCAGTGCCTAAGTCAGGGTGCAGATTCTTCAGAGAGACACCAGCAATGTTTACTCCACTCCATACAGGCACACTGGAGTCTCCACGCTCTCTGAGGATCCACCCGTGACAGCTTAACGGGTGAACTCCCAGCCTTTCCCCCATTAGGTAACGGAACACGGCTGAATCCAGATTGCAACCACTTCCAATAACACAGTTTTTGGGAAAGCCACTTATCTTCTAAGCCACATAGGTCAAGATATCCACTGGATTGGAAACAACAAGCAACTTGCAGTTTGGGCTGTATTTGACGACATTAGGAATGATGAACTTAAAGATGTTCACGTTACGCTGGACCAAATTACGACGGCTTTCTCCCTCTTGCTGACGTGCCCCAGCTGTGATAATAACCAGCTTGGAGTTTGAAGTCACATTATAGTCTTTGCAAGAGACAATTTTTGGTGTTCTAAGGAAAAGGCTTCCATGCTGGAGATCCATCATCTCTCCCTTCAGTTTGTCTTCCATGACATCAACAAGAGCAAGTTCATCTGCCAAGTCCTTCATTAAGATACTGATGGCACAAGCCATGCCAACAGCACCAACCCCAACAACTGTAATCTTATTTTGGGGGACATGTTCTTCCTTAAGAAGATTCTGAATCAGCTGATCTTTGAGAGTTGCCATTTTGGACTTAGAACCAAAAGGAATCGGGAGTGCACGTCAGGAGGGCGGGCTTCAGCGGCGCTCGAGACTGGATCCGGACTTGGCGGCAGTGGCTCCTACACTCCTCCTGTTAATCTGTCTTATGTCAATTTGATTCCTAGTCCAGTTAGGCAGATCTGTAGTAGAACAGGAATTCTTGCTCCTGACAAAGTGCTAGGAAAAATGCCTGGCTCATAGGCTGTCTTCAATAAATATTTGATGAGTATACGTGTCTAGGAAGAAGTTGCTGTGGCCAAGGTCAAAGTCAAAGTCAAGGTCAAGTTGCTGCCTGTGTTCTCAAGGATTTTGATGGATTCCTGCCTCACATTTAACTCTTTCATCCATTTTGAGTCTATTATTGTGTATGGCGTAAGGAAATGGTCCAATTTCATTCTTCTGCTTGTGGTTGTCCAGTTTTCCCAATACCATGTTTTGAAGAGACTGTCTTTTTTCCATTGGATATTTTTTCCTGCTTTGTTGAAGATTAGTTGACCATAGAGTTGAGGGCTCATTTCTGGGTTCTGTATTCTGTTCCATTGCTCTATGTGTCTGTTTTTGTGCCAGTACCATACTGTTTTGATTATTACAGCTTTGTAATAGAGCTAGAAGTCCAGAATTGTGAAGCCACCAGCTTTGGTTTTCTTTTTCAAATTCCTCTGGCTATTTGGGGTCTTTTTTGGTTCCACACAAATTTTACGATTATTTTTCCATTTCTATGAAAAAAAGTTGATGATATTTTGATAGGGATTGCATTGAATGTGTAGATTGCTCTAGGTAGCATAGACCTTTTAAAAAATATTTGTTCTTCCAATCCATGAGCATGGAACATTTTCCAATTATTTTGTGTTCCTCAATTTCTTTCATGAGTATTCTATAGTTTTCTGAGTACAGATTCTTTGTCTCTTTGGTTAGATTTATCTCTAGGTATTCTATGATTTTTGGGTGCAATTGTAAATGAGATAAACTCCTAAATTTCTCTTTCTTTTGTCTTTTGGTTGGTCTATAGAAATGCAGCTTATTTCTGTGCATTGATTTTATATCCTGTCACTTTACTGAATTTCTGTAAATCTGCAAAGATACCATTTTTAAGCATGCCTTCAACCAAGATATTCTCTTTATTCCAACTCTTCAAATCTGACAACTGTAGAAACACTTATGAATTAATAAGAAATACTCTCCATATGACAACATAAGTATTTCCATGCCAACTAGGGGACATATATTAGCTAAGGTAATAGAATATTTAATTTCAGGTGAGACTAGCTATCCAAATGTTTCTTTTCTCAGTTTGCATAGGGTGAGTACAGATAACTAGAGATCAAATACAGAGGATGCCAATTGTGGAAGCACAGGGCAATCATTGTTTAAGAGTCAATATTTTAGTATTTCCAAAAGCTATATTATAAATCTGGGACATTTCTGTCTAAATGATATAACAAGTTACTAAATAATGACCATTTAAAAGGCACAGTGCTAAGTATTTTATGTGCACTGTTTTATTTAATTCTTGTAACAACCTTATAAGATTGGTCATATTATATTTTTATTCTACAGATGAAGAAACTGAAATTAGGGGGAGGTAAATAACTTATCCAAGGTCACACTGGTAATTCCTGAGCTATTACTCCTTACCACTATATTCATAGACACATTAAGGGAAAATATCAGTTGCATCCTACCTAGATAAATTAGAACATTTCTAGGTTTTTTATTATTGTTCTTTTGTTTGGTTTTGTTTTGTTTTCTTAAGATTTTATTTATTTATTTGACAGAGAGAGATCACAAGTAGACAGACAGCAAGCAGAGAGAGAGGGGGAAGCAGGCTCTCTGCTGAGCAGAGAGCCCAATGTGGGGCTCCATCACAGGACCCTGAGATCATGACCCGAGCTGAAGGCAGAGGCCTTAACCCACTGAACCACCCAGGTGCCCCAGAACATTTCTAGTTTTATCCTTCACTCTCTGAAGTATTAATTACAACTGCCATATCCCATGATTCTGGTTATTTAGTTATGTGTGTTATTTTTTTTACTTGCCACGTTAAAAGAGGGAAGAATGGATAAGTAGCATTGAAAATTGTTTTGGGGGCACCTGGGTAGCTCAGTTGGTTAAACGGCTGACTTCAGCTCAGATCATGATCTCCCAAGTGGGGCTCCAAGGTCAGCAATGATTCTGATTCTCCCTCTTCTTCTACCCCTACCCTGGCTCATGTTCTCTCTCTCTTTCAAATAAACAAATAAAATATTTTAAAGAATAGTTGTGTAAACACTAAATTTTATCAAAAGTCACATCTAGAATTACACTAAATTTTATCAAAAGTCACATCTAGAATTCACAATTAGTAAAACTGAACTCCATAGTATTAAGTGGAGTTCCATTATAAACAAAAGTAATTAGGCCAGAAATTGGGGGGGGTAACTATGTGGTTGTAAATTTATTTCACCATAATGTTACTAAAAAATCTGTCATGGCCACTGACTCAGGAAAAAAATGCTGAACCCTAGTGTGCTTCTGTGGCCACCTACTCCATCCCAGGGAATCCCAAGGGGTCTAGACAAATCAAAGCATAGCTCCTGGCTGGGTTTGGCAACAGTGTTGCAGAACAAACGTGGATAAACTTGTCACAAAAGAAGCCAGTAACTCAAGAAATGAGGGTACAGAAAAGAAAGGGAGAAATTTGTTTTGGGTGCCATCAATGGGGGCAGGTGGAAGGCTAAAGTCAACTGACCTGTCTACCCCCAAGATAGACAGCTAGAATTTTATAGAAAGTTTGGGACTTGAGGGTATGTACAAGAGAACAGGCAAAAAGCATATGATTATGGGTGGGGGTTGGTATGTGTTCAGCCCATGATCTTGGGCAGGGAAAGGAACATGTGAGTGTGGTCTTCTAGGCATTCCATTGCTATTAGGGTTTTTCTGGTCTGGCTGTTGGGATGTCCCAGGTCATTGTAAAACACCTTCATCAATGCCTCAAAAAGATGCAGTAAGAAACAAGCATGATGGATTTTAGTTAAAGCATGAGCTAATCAGTTTTAAATATTTCTGGCTTTAACTGGGGGTCTATAGTTGAGCAAGAGAGCTTACTAACAAATGTTGATCTTTTCAATTTTCTCTCTCTCTCTCTTTTAATCCAATAGTTTTTTTCAGGGTTATTTTAAATTTCAGAACAACAACTATAAAAAATATATATAAACAACATAATAAACATTTGTGGAACTTGGCTTGTAACTCCTGACCATTTATTTTTTGCCTCCTTCAAAATCTTAAGAATTAGGCATTTGAAAATTTGTGTTTGCATAAGGCCTGCTTTTCTCTGTGTTTCTTCTTACCATCTTCTCTCACTATTTTCTAGGTCCTTTCTGATCTTACACATACTGAAGAGCAAAAGATGGGTGCATATTTAGAGCTAAAGAGTTGGAAAGTCACAAAAACTTTTTACTGAATACCACCTATGAGCTCAGTAGTTTATTTCATTCACTTGTACTTAAACTAGTATAAGCTATTTAAGAGATCAGTGGCATGATTTTCAAACAAGTTTTCAATAGATGTGCATGGGGTATGGGTAATTTCAGAGACCAGTTAACAGTAAGTTTTCAGCAAAAATGGCAATGCATTTTTTATATCCTGACTTACAAGCATGGAAGGCCTTTATCAGCATGGTTTGCAGCTCTCAAGAATTTGGTTATAGCCTTAGCAATGGTATACCTTACATTAGTTCACATTCCCCAAAGTCCAAGATTTCTTAAGATGCTTACTGTTTGGGGTGCCTGGGTGGATCAGTGGGTTAAGTGTCTGCCTGTGTTTGGCTGAGATCATGTTCCCAGGGTACAGGGATCAAGCCCCACATTAGACTCCTTGCTCAGGAAGGAGCCTGCATCTCCTTCTCCCTCTACCTGCCACTTTGCCTGCTTGTACACACTCTCGCATGCACTCTCTCTCTCTGTGTCAAATGAATAAAAATTCTTAAAAAAGAAAACTTATTTGCAAATATCTTCTCCCATTCTGTGGGTTGCCTCTTTGTTTTGCTGACTGTTTCCTTTGCTGTGCAGAAGCATTTGAACTTGATGAAGTCCCAAAAGTTCATTTTTGCTTTTGTTTCCTTTGCCTTTGGAGACATATCTTGAAAGATGTTGCTGGGGCCAATGTCAAAGAGGTTACTGTCAATGTTCTCTAGGATTCTGATGGACTCCTGCCTCACGTTGAGGTCTTTTATCCATTTCGAGTTTATCTTTGTGTGCGGTGTAAGACAATGGTCAAGTTTCATTCTTCTACACATAGCTGTCCAATTTTTCCAGCACCATTTATTTAAGAGACTGTCTTTTTTCCACTCTATATTTTTTCCTGCTTTGTCAAATATTATTTGACCATAAAGTTGAGGGTCCATATCTGGGCTCTCTACTCTGTTCCACTGGTCAATGTGTCTGTTTTTGTGCCAGTACCATGCTCTCTTGGTGATCACAGCTTTATAGTAAAGCTTGAAATCAGGCAACGTGATGCCCCCAGTTTTGTTTTTCTTTTTCAACATTCCCTTAGCAATTCGGGGTCTCTTCTGGTTCCATACAAATTTTAGGATTGTTTGCTCTAGCTCTTTGAAAAATGCCAGTGGAATTTTGATGGGGATGGCATTGAAAGTATAGATTGCTCTAGGCAGTATAGACATTTTAACAATATTTATTCTTCTGATCCATGAGCATAGAATGGTCTTCCATCTTTTTGTGTCTTCTTCAGTTTCTTTCATGAGTGTTCTGTAGTTCCTTGAGTACAGATCCTTTACCTCTTTGGTTAGGTTTATTCCCAGGTATCTTATGGTTCTTGGTGCTATAGTAAATGGAATAAATTCTCCAATTTCCCTTTCTATATTTTCATTGACAGTGTATAAGAAAACAATTGATTTCTGTGTGTTGATTTTGTATCCTGCCACATTTTTGAATTGCTGTATGAGTTCAGGTAGTTTGGGGGTGGAGTCTTTTGGGTTTTCCATATAAAGTATCATGTCATCTGTGAAGAGAGAGAGTT